TCACTATTTGCCATTAACATATATATATATATGTTACCGTGAAAGACCGAAATTGGAGAATGTCGACTTTCACCGGAGAATGTCAACATTCACACAAATACGTCGGTGAAAGATCGAATATTGCATTACATTCTTGTACATTCGGACCCTCACCGGTGTATGTCGACACTCACGGATGTGCTCTGGTGTAGGTTGAAAAAGAGAGGAGTATATGTACACGCTGTCATTGCAAAAGGAAGTGTTCCACAAATAAATGCTGTGTAAAAGCAAGGGCCTCTTGTGCAATTGAAAGTGTCATAAGAGTTTAAGTTTTTGCAATAAATAAGATTTGAATCACGTAATTTAGTAAGTTTTAAACTTCTATTATTTTCCTTTCTCATTTTGAATGTACAGTGTGTTTTAAGTTCTTATATTCTTAAGTTCTTAATTAAGTGCGTTTTTTCGTGACCGAATTACGGAGAAAATATAATATTCTTATGTGTTCAACATTCACCATTAGTAGATGGTGAATGTTGACATTTACCGGTGTAAGTCAGAAATAAGAGTATTTGGAAAATATTTCGGACATACAACAAGCGACTATGTGAATGTCGACATTCTCCAGATTTCGGGTTCACGAAATCTTACTTTGTATGCGTTGCATACAACGATCTAATAAGTATAGCTTAGCATCAATCATGTTTACGCTAGTTTTAGTAGGAGACATGAAGTGCGGGCTTCGAAAAGTAAAGATACACCGTACGCCAGAGGAAAAGAAAAGTTTTGGTGAGCAAGTTGGCAACACAGATGTTAACCTTGAACCGTTAGCTTTCTCCTCGCGGTCGTTCGGCATTTCAACGTTGATTCTGGTTGGAGTAGGTCGTGTTTAAAAGGGCTGCGCCGATTCAGAATCCCGCCAAATGCGAAGTGCGCTCCGTCATACGTTTCCTTCAGGCAAAAGGTCAGAGATCAGCGGATATTCACAAAGAAATTGTTTCTGTTTATGGGAACGGTATGAATCGACAAAATGTAACGAAATGGTGTACTATAATTTCTCTGAAGGTAGGACCGATGTTCATGACGAACAAAGAACAGGTCGGCCATCCGTGATCTCTGATGCCCTTCTTCAGAGAACAGAGGAAGCAATTCGCGCATATAGACGTCTCAAGTTCAAAGAATTGCATCAGATCATCCCGGAAGTGTCAATGACAGTTTTTTATGAAATTGAGACTGTCAAGTTAGGGTACAAGAAATTGTGTGCGAGCTGGGTTCCAACAAGTTCTATGATTGTGGGATACATTCTTGTATTGTGCTTGTAAAAGCTTGTGCACCGACTTAACAAATGTTTGGATAACGGGAGTGTTTGTGTCGAAAATGAATAAATAATCCAGTTAATAAGATGTAACTGCCGTTTTCTAAAGTGTTTTTCTAAGGAATGCGAGCCACTGTATCTTTACTTTCCGAAATGCCCTTGTACGTACAGACGTTACAATAAAATCCATTTTACAACCTCCTGCGAAATATAGAGTCATCCTTTATTCTTCCGTACATACAGACATCACGCGAAAAAATAGTCAAAATGTATCCGAGAATGGTCAAAAGAGATATGTTCGTTGATAACCGAAATTTTTTGCGATTCCATTGCTTCGTACAAGAAGTAAAAATGAATCGTTTGAAGAAAGAAATAATAACTGTTTACACAGAATAAATGGAAGTTAGTATATTACGCATTTCTGCATAGCGAAGATATACATTTAAAAAAAATCTGAGAACAGCAGGAATCAAAAGGATATAAATTATTCAAGTCTATAACCAGGTGGTATAAAGCACAAATTTAGATCATTATGCGTTAAATCAGGGCCTATGAAAGATAATCAAAACAATATTGTTGCTTAAAAATGCTAATGATTGGTTCTTTAATACATCTTATCATTTTCGAAGATTGCCAAATGGTGCAAAACAACATCGCAGCTGCTTGTTTACCCGAGAACTCAAGATTAAGATAAATTTGCACAATTTATAGATGGTTTTAAAAACTATTGAAACTTGTTCTTAGTAATTTGGGAACATGAGCTTTCAACTGGACACATCATTTGACGGATCAGAAGCAATGATCTGGTAAGTCGACTTACCTGATATATGGAAATTGAATCTAAATGCAGTATTACACAGTGTTATTATATTACACAGTATTATTATATATCTTAAGTATTGTACGGTGGCTCATAATTATTTAAGGGCACTTGTATTTTTGAAATTTATTTGCTTGAGTCTTGTGATAAATATTGAAACATTTACTCCAAACGTTTTTCGAATATATATATTTTTTCTTTACTTTAAATCTTGCTTGTCGCAAAATAAATATCATAAAAATATTCCGAATAATAAAATAAGTTATTCAAAAAGTGTTAGTAACTCTCAGAATGAATTGTGAATTGCACACTCTAAATTTTTGTTGATATGTTTGGTAGAAAATGGTTCTTGCTATAATTTTTTGTTTTAAATCAATCTACATCACAAGCCGTATCGTCTACGTTTTCAAATTATTACTTGTTTAGGAAAATATACTAATATTTCCGTACCTAAAGTGAACATGGCAAAATGGCAAGATGCTAAAAATCAAGAGCAAGTTCTGTTAGAAATTTAAAATATTTTAGTTTAAATTCATTTTAAAGATGTTGAAAGCATTCAAAATATCCCAAAATCCTCGGTTTAAGGTACTTAACCATTTTTTTATTTTATCAAAATTCATGAAATTCTTCAAAATGCACTAAAATCACGAAGGAATCGGAGGTTTATAGTAAGAAAATCAAACGAAACCCAAAATCTGTCCTGCAAAAGTTGAAGAAAATTTAGAACAATTTTTAATAGAAATTAACCCTGAAACTGTTAGAAGAGTCATTAAAGCAAACTGATACAGTGGGCGACCAAAAAGAAGCAATTCTTCGTCAACAAAAAATTACTGTATATTTCTGCGAAGTTCCCTTACGTTTCACCCATGGACTATAGTGGGTGAAATGTCAACGACTTTTCGCCGTCGCCTTTTCGCCGTGGCCGTTTCGCCGTCAACGCATATTTTCTTTACATGACTGTGTATTAAATTTATTCAGTTTATTAATTCTGCTTACCTTTGTATACTTAATAAAGGTTGCTTGCAATTTATATAGTTATTTACAAGTATAAGATATAAAGAAATTAGACACAGTTAGTTGGAAAATTATGTTAGTATCAAAGAGAACTGGGGCTAAACATCTGATATAACAGAAATTATATTATCAATATAATATTTGCGGGTGCTATATTTACATGATTCGCCAAAATTTCTTGAAATTTTGATTAGTTCAGAGAAGTCACTCATCTAAGCAGGAAATTCATATTTTTATGAAATCTAAATTGGAAACGGAATTACCCTGGAACTTTGTTAGCACATTACTCTCTTAAAATTAATATGTCATATGTAACGGTGTATTTGTATAAAATTTTACAAAAAAAATCTTCTACATTATTTTATATAAAATGTTTATTCAATTAAATTTTTAAACTAAACAGAATTATTAAACTAAATCAATTTAATAAAATACAGAAAAATATAATACAGTCATGTAAAGTAAAATATGTCTTGACGGCGAAATGACCAGACAGTGAAACGGTCACGGTGAATAGTCCCATTCCCGACTATTGTGGCTTTGATATCTTGAAAAATGCTCTTTCTAAGGGCAAACCTACCACGATAGTTGGATTCTGAAAAGAGGTAGAAGAGGAAAGGAAATTAACACCGTTGGAAATTTTACAGAAAAACCTTTTATCATGAAAATAACGATGGAAAATTACAGTCTGGAAAAAAGGCTATCAAATTGAACGCTTTAAAAATGCTCTTTGAACTTTAAACATTAATTAAACGGTCCTGAAATTGTTCTAAAATATGTAAAAACCTATTTTATGCTAACGAAGAAGATAAGTTCTTATAAATCTCTGTTTAGGCCTCTATCGGAGAAAAATATTCTGTATTTCACTGAATGTACTAATGTTTTTCATTATAATTCTTTATTCATAGTTACTAATAAGTTTATTATAATGTAAAATATTCTTGCTGGTTTCACCGAAAATGATCAAGATACTGGAAGATTCATATCTCTTAAGTGAATAGAAAAGGCCTTTATGAAGAATAATGACGATCCGCTCGCTGAGACAGCGTACAGTGACCTGAGCAACGCTGAAATCCAGTGGCATTTTAAATGGGATGACGTCATCTTTAAGTGACATGTCTATGCTAATGCTATGCCATTTGAAAATCAAAACTGCCTGTTTTTAAATTTCGAGCTGCTAACTGTCTTTTAGATTGTTTTCCTTTTTGTCATCAAATAATTATGAGGGCATTTCGAAAAGTAAAGATACAATGGCTCGCATTCCTTAAAAAAAAAAAAAAAAAAAAAAAAAAAACCATTTATTTAGTAAACGTCAGTTACATCTTATTAACTGTATTATTTATTATTTTTCGATATAATCACCCCCGTTATCCAAACATTTGTTAAGTCGGTGCACAAGCTTTTGTATCCCACAGTCATAGAAGGTGCCGCTTGTTGGAACCCAGTGCGCACACAATTTCCTGTACCCTAACTTGACGGTCACAACTCCATAAAGAGTTGTCATTGACACTTCCGGTATGATCTAATGCAATTCTTTGAATTTGAGACGTTTATTCGCACAAATTGCTTCCTCTGTTCTCTGAAGAAGGGCATCAGAGATCACAGATGGCCGACCTGTTCTTTGTTCGTCATGAACATCGGTCCTACCTTCAGAGAAATGATATTACACCATTTCGTTACATTTTGTCGTTTCATAATGTTCCCATAAACGGAAATAATTGCTTTGTGAACATCCGCTGGTCTCTGACCTTTTGCATGAAGAAAACGTATGACGGTGTGCACTTCGCATTTGGCGGGGTTCTGAATACTTGTTTCTCGGTAGCATTAAAATAAATCCAAACTAAATCATCGCCACACGTTTCAACATTATTTTCTTATTCTGGACTAACGAAACTTTTGGGATAATAAAAGTTCAATTTGTGGGGAGAGAGAGGATAGCAGAGCTAAATGAGACAGGTGTTGGCTCGTGGGACATAATGACTTAATTCAAAGAGGACCAAGAGGTATTACACATAATTCATAATTTAAAAAACCGATAGAGAATTTATGGTGATATAAGATATTTTTAATTTCCGAATATAAATTGATTGAATTTTAATTTTATTTTGCAGCAGCAACCAAGGCAGCCGTCGGAATTCCGTAACATCGCCGTCGAGGCGTCCTGTGCGTCTGCGGAATATCGTCACTGGTCATGAATCTGTGGAGACATTATTCTTAAAAGCCACTGAGGTGACAATTACGTTTCGTATACTTAATTTAATAACAAAAAATGTTTAAAAAATTTATAAAATGGTATTATAACTTACTAAGCCTACAAATTACTCAACTCAAAAAATGTTAAAAAATGTATAAAATGATGTCAGTAATTTAATATGTCTACAAATTACACAGCTCAAAGAATGTTAAAAGATTGAGAAAATGATGTCCGTAACAAAATAACTCGGTTTAATTACTCATCTGAATGACCATATTTACGTCATTGATGAAAAAAAGAACTAAAGCCGTGGCACCGGAATTCTATTTATTCTATTTTTAAAAAAATTTTATAAAGCCTGTCAGAGCTCTAAAGGAATGGAACTTATGGAACTCTGTAAAATAATCCTTTATAGCAATCCCTCATCATAAAATTTTAAAGCAATTTCATATAGCTTTTATTTTGTCCAGAAAGATTTTATCCAGCTGTTATAGAATAGTATTCTATAGAAATCTGCAAAGTTTCCAAAGTATATTCAAAGGAAATTTTTAGTTTTTAATGTACTATATGAGATAGAGAAAGGTAAAAATGAAAGTCTTTTATTTGTAAGTGTCGAATCATTTTTGAATGGAAATGTTTATCTTTTTTCCCTTCTAACTTAATAATTTTTAGCTTGCGTTAATAGCATAATATTTAAATTTATCAGCAGCGTAATATGTTACGCAGTATTTAATTTTATTTAAATTTACGTGACATTTTTATGCACTTTTCATGCAATAGTAGTGCTTTGCGTAATTTTCAGTTTTCGTCTTTTAATATTGCTTACGTAACAAAAGATTTTAATTTTGTTAATGCGTAAGATGGATTTTAATCATAAAATAAATAAGTTAAAATATTAAATTTGTGCTGCTAGTTCTAAAATTTTAATTTCTGAAATGAATTCTTTTAATTATTATATATGCACAATTTGCATCGCCCCCCGTAAAAAAGGGTATAGTTCTGTATCTCCTGTTCTACTGGGTCAATAGATTAAATTTAATGGAATTTGGAATGGAAATTTGCATTTTCCATGTCACGAAAGCGCGACTTAGGATATATATTAGATTTATATATGCCATTGTTCTAATATAGATATTTTGACACAGAACTGGACATTTTCTGAAATGGCATACGAATTTTTTTTTTAATATTTCGATTCTACAACTCAAATTATGCCTAAATATTAAATATTGTATAATTTGGCAAGAAACTTACCCAGAAATGTAAAAATTTGTTTTGGCACACATTTTTCAGTTTGCGCAAGAAATACAATTTTGACGACATTCTTAATTTATGGTAACCTGTGTTCCTTTCTTTTTCATTGTCCACGAGTGAAAAAAAAAAGGGTGCATCGTTCAATCTTTCAAATAATTTTAACAAAGTATATAGACCACATTTGACATTATTACTGTTATAGCAAATACAACAGATTTCAAAACGTGCAAATATATAAATTTACGCATATCTTAGGAAAATTTGTTGTTATAGGTTATAATCTAGGCTATAAAAATGTTATAGGTTATAATTCAAAAATCATTTTAAAAATTTTATAAAAATTATTTACAAATACAAATTTTAAAAATAAAGCTGAAAATATCTGCGAATTTTATTTGGATCAAACCTAAACTTCAAATTGCGAAAAAAGGATTCAAGTAAATGTAACAAAATAGAGATATTAATAAATACGTACTAAATTGAAATAACACTGGTAGGCTAAAATTTTGAGAGCTAACGCTTTAAACGTTACTCACGCGGTTTTTACAAAACTTGATACTTTAGTATAATTTGAGTCGCAGGATTGAAATATGGAGAAAAATCGGTATGTCATTTCAGTAGAAAAGTCGATTTTGTGTCAAAATACCTATGTAACAATGCTATATATAAATATAATATACTAAAAAGCCCGGCGGGCATACGAAATGACCGCTGTTCTAGATATTATAAATTGTAATTAAAATGATTCTGCTAATTTAAACTGAATTACCCAGGGCAAATTAGCAAAGGTGTCTGCTAATTTAAACTGACTTACCCAGGCGGCGGAGGAAACGCCTCCTTTGCTTACTGCCCCACGGGGTTACCCCCTTCTACTTGCTTAATTACTTGCTAATTGTAGAGTGCAATGAAGGAAACCACTGGCGGTACAATTTCTTAAGAGCCGCCGCTACCGCTAGCTCAATAAAGGTGATTTAAAGTTGATTTAAATAATAAAATGATAATTCACATGTCAAAGATCTCTTTCTACACAACATTTCTTGTGTAGATCTTTCCATCATTTTTAAGCTCGCCTTGTAGAGGATCATCCATTATTTTTAATTTTACGTCGGTTCTTTCAGGAACTCTTGAACGGGCAACATAACGTTGACCCTGTCCAAATGCAGACTCAGGTAAAAAAAATGCCAACACGCTTAAGCGTTTGGCCCTGAGACTTATGGATGGTCATAGCAAAGGCAAGTTTTACAGGAAATTGTCTACGTCTCAATTGAAACGGCAACCCCGTACCGTGGCAACTTCACCCCATTGGCTAGAACAGTTACGCAAGCAATCAATAAAATATCGGTGACAAACAGAAGCTTAAGCCGCATATATATATATGGGGTGAAGTAACATCATCTCCTCCGAAACGGCTGGCTCCCGGGCTTAGAGAAGCACACTGTTGGATTCCGTGGCAGGCCATTTTGACCATTCGCGTCTTCTTGGGACTTTAATTTGCCGAGATATTAATTAAAACTGACTAATTTTCCACTGCGTTTTCCCTACATTTTCCTCTTTCTTTCTTGGGTTTTCCCTATTACAGGGATTTGGCTACGTGCTAAATTCTTTTTTCTCGAATATCTACCGAACGGCGCCGAGTTGAAATTCGAGACGGGTATCCTCGGAATCCAAAAATTTCTCCGAATCCGTCGATGCCGTTCTCATATTCGTACGACTTTAATCGGCCTAGGTATTAATTAAAAACTGCGGAAACGTTAATTTCCACTCTCATTTTTCCGAGTGGCAACAATAAACTATCGGTGTCACAAACTTTAGCCGCTTATATATATATAAAGATATTCTAAGTCGTGCTTTCGAGAGATGAAAAACGCAAGTTAAATTTCGTTAATTAGGACAATATAGAACAATAGATATAGTACTGTCACCCCCCTTTTTTTCTGCTAACTGTACGTGCAAAGAAAATTTAGATCTGAACTCTAATTTACTTTTCATGAATTGGCAACAATTCGTTTGTTTACTGTTTCCTATCATGAAGATTTGCTGTAGCATTGGAGCTGTATTCTTCGCGTAATAAATGCCTTGTAATACTCACTAAACGTTTCCTATTTATCAAGTAGGGTTTGGATCATTTGTAGACGTCTGTTTTTATAGTTCTGCTTCCACTATTTGTTAGTCGCTGTACGTGAATTTCTGCTATTTGCAAGTTTAAAATCTAATACATTGATGTTATTAAAATTATTCATTTGTATGCCAAATGGAAGTTTCCACTATCGGAAAATTTGTTGAAAATTTAAAACCGCCAAAACACTTTTGAAAACCATTTTATTGTGTTTGTGTTTTGATATACTAATAACTTTTCCCATAAAATATGAAACTCATGTTTCATATTCATGTTATGTACATTGATGTACATATTTTCTTTAACCGTCTTATCGAATCACTTTTTAAGCTTAAAATGTAGAAATTCTTTGCTTTTCTTGGAGTTTTAATAGTATGTAATAAATTCAATGTAGTGTCATATTTCATCGGAAGACTTTTTTCGTTAGTTTTCTGCGCTCTTGCTTTTCACAATCGACTCTTATTCAGAAATTCGATTAATTAAATGCTACCGCTAGCGACAGAAGCCTCCTTCTTTTTCGATTATTGATAAATCTTTTTAAAATTCTTTCCTCTAGTTCTAAACGATCAAGTTATTCTACTTCTCGTTCTCTTTTTTTGTTCAATGAGTTCAACTTTGAAGTTAATTTCTCTTTTATTCATAAAATTCGGGGTTCAATTTTTAAATGTCCTTTTTTTATTTTACAGTGCTTCTTGTCAATGTGGGTTAATGTACGCTGGCCTTAAAAAAAGGGGGGGGAAGTCATTTGATGAATATGAATTTGAAACTAGAAAAGATGTGTAGCAATAAATTTGTATAGCTCACGTCTTTCAATTTTTTCTTAGCATTACATTACTTCGGAAAATATGAAAGATTAATTTAAAATCCAATCTGTTTAAAACTTCTCTACATCCTTTTATATATAGTATACACAAAGCGTCTGTAAAGTTTTACGAGTAACTTCTTTTAAAGAAGTTCAACGAAACGATAATAACTAGCATTCGTTACTACGGTATTTTAACTTGCTCTTTCTAAAGCAAAAGCCCCTTTCAAAACCAGCGTCTCTAGCCCCAGGGGTCGAGCGATAAAGTCGCTGAACACTGATAGTTCGATTCGACGTTCGAACCCCGCGAACGGGCTTGCTTCATGGGCGTTTTCGCCGTTTTACCCGTGTATACGAGCCAGTTTCCCTTAGAACGTCCTCCACGAAGGCATCTCTTTCCCTTAGGTAGTCATCGTGGATTTGCTGCAGTCACATAAATCAACCTTTAACAAAGATGCTTTATATGTTAGAAGTTAAAGATGTTTAAGAATAACGTAAAACAGCTGTCGAAGAAAGGATAAACGGCAAGGGAATTAAAGTAAGGAATTAGCTAAACCATTTTTCAAAGCCCATGAAATGATATTTTAATCTGTGTTAATACCTTAGTTTATTCAATAACGTGATATTTTAAGACTTAGTCATACATGAAGATTCGTTTAAAGTTTGTAAGGAGTACTTTAATTTTGTAACAATTATTTTTAATTTTGAAACTCTTTCCTTTCAGTTCTTGTTTCCCACTTACAACTCCCTACCAGAATGAGGTTTTAGAATCGCGTTGAATGTAAATGTGTTAGAAGTAGTATTTAAAGGAAGTTCTACATAATTCGAGAGAGAGAGAGTGCTTAGGAGTCGTTAGTGGCGCG